ATGGACTTAATTTTTATGATAAAGAGTTTTATAGTGAAATGACAATAGCTTAAAAAAATAATATCACCATTGGAGTGTTTGCTCTTTTTCACTTATCTATATTATTTGTGAAGATTGATCCGCCTCTGCCTCTATCCTGACAGCTGTCAGTTGGTGTATCATACCCATTTCTCTTACTGGCATTCCAATGTCATAATCATTTCTGTGTTTGTGGAGGGCACTTATGAAGCTCCAGTGTTACTTTGGATGGTAATCTTATCACTAGGACTGCTTTTAGATCTGTTTTTCTTCAGGTCATAATAAAATAATTTATAGTATGTAGAATAATAATCTTTAACAGTTTTTTAGTGGTAGTGTGGATACATCATACTTAATTTCCTGTTGAATCCTTTTTTAGTTTTTCCTTTTAAATTCCTAGAAATGCTATTACTGTGTCAGGATTATAAAGACTATGGAAATCTGGTTATTTATAAATCTGTTATTTCTAAATTAGCCTTCACAGATATTGAACTAAATTATTTCACCATCAATGTACAAAAGCAGATTCTTTACAAAAGCTTTTAATAAAGCTCCCCTCAGCAGTGTACTTTGTCAGTCGGCCTGTTCTGCTCCCTACTCTGTCTCTGGTGAATCTTCTCACCGCCCCTGTACCTCTGGCCTGTTCCCCAGTTCTGTATCCATAAATAAATAAATCTTTAAAAAGAAAAAAAAGAAAAAAGAAACCATCCTTATGGGTTCAGTGATAAGGTGAAACTCAAAATTAGTTCTTGGCTTAGTCATGAGCACTGGAAAATTTTACTATAAGTGTTAGGGGATAGAAATCTTAAACATAGGGGGCATAAAAAAGATCTTTGGCAACTCAGACTTTCTGTCGCAAGCCCGAGGCCTGGAGAAGAATTTTAGCTCTGGCTTGCTCCTTTGGGAACCTTGACTTGCTTCTTGGGGAAAGGGAAGAGGAAATGGATTCTCTCTTGCTCTCAAGCTTCCTATGTACCACTAAATTATGTCTCCTCAGGGTTGATTGGTATAGTGATCATAGTTATTTTCTCAAGAATTTGAAAGCCTAGGCTACAGAAATTGTTTTTTTCCCCTGTAACCTTAATGGACCTGGAGGGTGGGAACTGTATTCTGTGACATCACATTTATCACAGGAACATGCAGATGAAGCTGCAAGTGTGAGATTCTGGGTCAGAAATGTTTTCAATTACTGTTTGCTTGTTGAGGACACAGGTCAGTTCCATTGCCCAAAAGGAAAAATTGCTTTTGGCCTTATGACTTTGTCTTTTTAAATATTAAAAATCATCGCTGAGTGTCAGAGGCAAAAAAAAAAAAGGTCTTTACAAAAGACACTGAGAAGATCCCTGCACTTCTCAAGAGCCATTATACTTAAAATATCTGAGCTAGGAAAAATATGACATAAAAATACTCAAAGCAACAATGCTAAGAAACTCATTCCAGATTTTAACAACCTTATTAAAGAAGCCCTTACTTTAATTTATTAGACATCTCTCCTGTTATAGATCATTTCTTGTTCCTTTGTCCTAAGGGAGATAAATAAAAATTGGACCTTATTCTCCGTGTGATATTTTATAATAGACCTAGAGGCATTTTTTTAGTTTCCTATTCAAGTTTTTATTTTCTCCAATAAATAGACCAAATATTTCTGCTTTCTTATTGGTACATCTTTTTCCTTCTTTCTATCCCTTTTGTGAAGCTTCATAATTGTGTGCAGTGAACCCCTAAAGATCCCAGGTTAAAAATCATTGAGCAGCAAACTTCATCGCCTAAGCAATCTCTACGTTCCATCCCAAGTCCTTTTCCTGAAATTAAGAAATACCTGTATCTATTTATTCAAACTACTTTTGGGTCATCACTTCCACGTGGATGACCTATAGTCAACTCAACTTTGAGATGTCCACAGAGAATATCCCCCACATTAGTGTATGTGACTCAGTGAATCACCTCACCATTCACCAGGTACTTGTACTCAATATGAGGAGTCATGTTTATTTTTTTTAAGTTTTTTTTTTTTTTTTAAATTTATGCAACCAAGAACTGGAGTAAAGGCTAGAGGCCCAAGGAGAGGGCGGGGGTGGGCAGTGAGAGTACTCACCAGAGACAGAGTGAGGAGAAGAACAGGCAGATCTACTGATTACACTGCTGAGGGGAGCAGCCGGCAACACAGAGGTCTGCTGTGCCATGTGGGTCAGCTCCCTGACTGGGCTCATGTTGCTATGGATGCGGATAGCATCATTGTGCTGAGACTTAGCTCCTTGCCCCACCAGGGAGGCCCAAGGAGTCAGTTTTGACTTCTCTAACTTAGTACCCTTGCATCAAATTAATAAGCAAGTCAGCCATTTTAAAGTGTCTTTCAACTCTGTCCATTTCCCATCATTCTACTGGCCCAAATCACCATCCCAATCCACAGATAGTTCATCTTGCATCTAATTTTTTTGCTTTCCACTCATTCTTCTTTTTTTTTAAAAAATATTTATTTATTTATGCGTACAGAACTGGGGTACAGGCCAGAGCTGCAGGGGCGGTGAGAGGATTCACCAGAGACAGAGTGGGGAGCAGAACAGGCCACCCGATGAAGTACACTGCTGAGGGGGAGCAGCAGGTGAGATAGGAGAGGTCTGCTGTACCTTGTGGGTCAACTCGGGTTGGAAATTGAACTCACACTGAAGTGGCTGCAGCTGGCTTGCAGTGCTGTGTCCTAATCTGAAGCGCCACCAGGCAGGGCCCTCCACTCATTCTTTACATGAAATCCAAAGCTGACTCCTAACACTGAAGGCTCAGTCATATTACTCCTGACCCCTAGTGACCTCTCCTTCCCTGTGCTGAATTTGCCGTTTTTTTTTTTAAAGATTTATTTATTTATTCATATAGAACTAGGGTACAGGCCAGAGATGTGGAGGGTGAGAGGATTCACCAGAGACAG